GGAACTGTGCCACCAAGTTTCAACTTCCCAAATGTTACCATGTGCACAGCGCGCTGTACACTTTACCTCACAAACACACTGTTCAAGTGTCTCCCACTTCTTTTAATATTAGGGCAACAACAGTCAACAAGTGACTTCCTTTAAACAGTTAAAACTCATGGAGAGTCATGGACATGAAGTTTCAGTTTGGGGACATGAAGATAAAGTTTTGGAGATGATTACACATGAACAACGAAAAACAGTACATCTTACATTCTATATCTCTTAGCACACAGAAAGAGATAATTATCATTCAACAGACACCTCAGTTATGGAACAAGCTTTGCCATTCTCAAACTGCTACTCAGAAACATGTATTCACTGCCAGTCTCAAGCATAGGTGCCTGCCTGTTATTTCCAGTTTAACATATTTCATGAATTACAAGTTATGAACTTGAAAACGGCTTTTCTGTTACCAGTATTCATCAGACACACTATTTACTAATCTGAAGGGATCTATTGTTCCTCCTCTTCCAGAATGTGATCTTAAATGTCAGATCAGTTTTCTACTCACTACGCCAGACCAAGTTCACCGTAAGGAAGGTGGTCTTCTGCACAAAGTATCTCCAGGGTCCATCAGGGCTGTCTGCCTGCTCAAGGACCCAGAAAGAGGCGCGCAGGCAAGGACAAGGAATGCCTGCCTGTGTCAGAAGGAGGTCCAGGACAAGAACGTGCGAATGTCTCTAGCCCCCAAGGTGTTTCTTAGTTTCTCCTCTGTACAGCACGTCAGGAGTCACAGGAAAAAGACACAGAGGGACATGGAGGGAAATAGTCTTCAATCCAGAGGGCAGATCTTTACTGGTAGGATTTTGTAATGCAAAGAAAATGCTGTATGTTGCAAACATATTCCTTGCTTCTTCAATAAATCAAAGTTTGAGGTTTAAAAAGCTGAAAATACAGACTATAATGCTCTAAGTATCTGAACCCCCGCTGAAATTACTGGGGATTAGCTGGTTCTCGTTCAGGTTTCCAGTAAAAGACAGGTTTTTCCAGTTGCTGCCAGAAACGCTGGTTGGTAGCTTAGGAGAACATATACCTAAGTTATATGTATATCCAAGATATGTAATTTATCACTTCTCCCTTCCAGGGTATTATCCACAACCAAAATATCTTCTAAAAGTGAGAAGTTTTCTCAATCAGTATTAACCTGGTTAAGTACATACACACGGCCAATAGACATAACATTACATATTCTGAGGAATGTAAGAACTAAGCTTTCTCTTAAAAACATTTTATTTCTAACATGTTAATTAGAAAGCTAACATTCTTGAAAATGATCACTTATATTTGCTTTCCGCTATTTTGCAGCTTTTATGAGATGCTACTTGCAGGCGAAATACAAGTCCATCGGTATAGTTGCAATTCTCTTCCTAGAAACACACCTAGCCTAAGTACAGTATGCCTTCAACAGGGGAAAATGCAATTGTGACTCCCCCACAAAACTATACACTCGATTCAAACTTCCTTCATTTTCTACCTATGTATTTTTGGCAAGTCAAAGCAGCGTCCCAAGTTAATAGACAGGTCTCCTGGGGTGACTGAATAAGCACTGGTGATGAAGACAACGTTCAGATTGTTATGGCAACCACAGTCTATAAGAAACACCCCAAGTGCTCAATACAGCACATCTAAAATCTTCCTCATTTGTTTTCTTCAAAGGGGAGAGTGCCTGGGTAATTATCACTTTCATCTGTTTGTGGAATGTCAGTGGCCCCTATGGCCTAGGGTGGAGGCTTGAGTTGGCTCACCCACCACAGCACTCGCCAGACCTCAAAAAGTAAGTACCTGGTTCACCGTAAGCACTCAGTATATGTCAAATAAATAAAAATAAATTAAAAAGCGAGGCACCTAGGGGGTCTGGAACACAGTTCACAGATATAGCACTTAATGGAAGCAAGGCCATGAGCTTGACCCCGGCACCACAGACATCAACACAACCAGGTTACCACAAAGCTCTTTATTTTTAACTTAAGGACTGGCTATACCTTGTTACCCTACTATATATATGCATATTAAAATTAAATAAACCAAACAACTTAATATAACTTAATAGAACCTGATGATCAATAAAAGGTTACTGAGTGCTGGTTTATTTTATTTTATTTTAATTTTGAGTGCTGATATTTGAAACAGCCAAAAGTATCCATCAACAAAGACTTGTCTCCAATTTCAAATGCAGGAAGGCTGAACCGGTTGGTTACTTTGTCTTGGTTATCAAGTCAAACTGTTTCTGCCAAATCTATTTCCAGTGTAGCCACCTCTGGTTTTATTATGCCAGAAATAACTGCCAGAAAATGTGGGCCTGGTTTTGAGTCTAAGCTTGGTATGACATAAATGAAATTGACTCAGATTCTCAAGAACTCACTAAATTAGCATCAAGCATTTTTTTAAACCACGAAGCTCTTTCTACACTGTACCCACTTTTATTGGGAAGTGTAAAGAACCCTATCCCCAAACTACTCCGAAGTTTCTCACGATTCTCTCCAATCTCTGTCTGGGGCACCCAACCTGCGGCTCTAGAAGAGCTTGGTACTCACCTGCTGCCACGTCAGCTTCAGCCGCTCAGACTGCTCCTTGCCATCTGCCGAGCAATCGGAACAAGTAAACCTGAAAAAGTTATCGCCCTTAAGGTAACTGAGCTGCTCCCTCAGCTGACCTACGAGAAAAAACACAAGTCACATCACGGGTGGAGCACTCGCAGTGGCAACCCGAAGGCTCAGTTAGTCAACCAGATTTCCAAGTTTCCCATGGTGTTTTCTGCAGCCAACCCAGGACAGTAGCAGAGGAGAGAAAAAGCTGTTTCTCCTTCTAAAGTCAGGCACATGCTCCTCCTAGAACCTGTGGCTCCTGAGCTTTTAAGGAAAAAGGTCCTGGAAAAGCAGGTATGATTGCTTTAACTGGATTTCCCAGAAGCCACATTCCTGACTCCTCCAGGCAGGTCTCTTCAAACATTCTTTCACAGAATACCTGAGCTCGTACCACCAGCCAGGCGCCAGGCTGGGAACAGGATATGCAATGTCTAAGGCAGACGTGACCCACACCTGCTCTCATGGGCTACCAGTCTGGAGGTAGTAGAGATCACAGTTGTGTTTACACACAACTGCACTGCTTCTGGATTCCCGTGGAGCATCAGAGTGGCTGCGTTTTCTTTCCTTACTATGGCCATGTCTGCCCCAAGTGAAATGCTTCAGTCTCTGAGCCCAGTGTGGGCTCTGCATTAAAGCTCCTAGGTGATGCTGTTTGTGCAGCATGTAAACTCCCAAAGTAGAATATAAAGTGCATCACAGGGCAGAGTAAGGCATAGGGAAAAAAATGGATGCCCAATCCCATTAGGGAGGGAATCGGGGTCTACTGGCCCCGAGGGAGAATAGAAACTGGCTAGAAGAGGGTTCCTGTGGAACAGAAGTGAAGGGAAGCTGCCCCATATTCCAGAGAAAACAAGATGGACAGTATCCTAGGAATCACAAAGCATTATTTAAAAGAATGAAAAGTTCACCCACCTCCCTAAAAAAGTTAGCAGGGCCCTATCAAGAAAGTCACCTTAAAATCTACCCTGTGAGGACAGCGAGAAAGCCAAACCGTCAGTTCTAGGTTTGTTTTCTATTAACCTATTTACAGTAGCTCCTAATTTGAACAACTGAATCCATTTTTAACAGAAGCGTCTAACATACCAGAAAATGAGACCCTCACTAAGTGTGCCATGGCTCCATTGCACTGGCTGTGAACTCTTGCACAAGCGTTCCTCCAGCACTCATCCTTTGCTGTCTCTGGCCTAATGGCACATGCTGTGTGGTAAGAACCATGGCGGCTGGCAGAGCATGCTATGAAGCAGGGGCTGAGACCCTCAAGATCTGTGCATTGTGACTCCTTCCAGCCAATGAAAGAAGCCCACGGTGCGAAATGAGCCTGGTGTAAAGGCAGGAAGCAATCACCTTTGCACCGTCAGTTCTGACCACCCGTGAGAAGACAAGAGCAGTACTCCACAAATGTCAAATACAACATAGTAAGTTCTGTGAACCTGATATACTGGCAACAGAATATGTCCCCCCAACCCACAGCATAATCTTGTTAGAAAAATATGGTCAATTCCTTAAGTAACACAGGATCCCTAATTTTTCTTGGGCTACCTTTCAGAATGCTAATTTAACGATGAGAGAGTGGTTGATAATTTTTATTAATACAAACATGTTTTTGTGAGCATGGAGAGATGACGCAGCAGTTAGGAACACTTACTGCCCTAACAGAGGACACAGGTTCAGTTTCCAGCACCCACACAGTGGCTCACAACCATGTGTAATTGAGTGCCACGTGACCTGACGTCTCTTCTGACTTCTGCAAGCACTGCATGTATATGGTACACACACACTCAGGCACACACACATACATATAAAATAAATGAATGTTTTAAAAAAGTAAAAACAAAAGAAAGTGTTTTTGTATAAATTTACATTTGGTAAACTAGACTAACAATAATAAATATAGTAATTATCTTTTTATTCAAGTCTATTTTATTAGTGTTTTTCAGACTGGAAAACAAACCATCACACAGGGATTGACCAATCAAAGGAATTGATAAGTTCCTTACTGGCTGGGATCCACTTCTGGCACTTGTCACAGAAGTAAGACAGCTGCTCCTCCATCCACGACACATCTCCTTCATCGCTGTTGAGGGAATCCCCGCTCTGGTCGTGAGATAAGTCCACAGATGCCTGATCCTCTGACTCGACAATCAGGAGGGTCTCTCCCTCCACCTCTCCTTCTTCCAGCCCTTCCGAGGCAGATGTTCTTGTGGCTTCATCGTCATGCCGACTTAGCAGTCCGCCCAGGTGGATGTTACTCTCCATCCTCCCCTGCGCACAAGCACTCCTAAGCTGACAGGGTCTGCTGCGAGAATCCCCAGACAACTTCAGAAGAGCGTCTGCCCACGAGTACTTTATCCAGACAGAACAGACTCGTAAAAGTGATTCAAAAGACAGGATCCACCGTCCTTTATTTAATAAAGTTTATATGGACAGTGATTTTCGGGGGACACAGATTTCACTAGCTATTCTCTATCAACACACACACGCGTGCACACCCACATATATACACATTAACCCAGCACTGCCCCAGCAATTTTCACAAAGTCAAGTGTTTTGAGATCCTCTTTCCAACATCTTCTCTCTTTCTGCTTCAAGTTGCTTAGTCAAAATAATCTGTTCTCCCAAAAGACGAATGTTTTCTTTTTTCTGATTCTGTCTCTCAATGTCTCTGATCACTCCGTCACGAAGCCTCTAAAAACGCAAGAAGCAGATTTTAGTTACCCCTGAACAGGTGGCTCCATCCTGTGCCTCCAAATCTAAATAACAGCACCACCAAAATACACTCAAACTGTTCTGATTCCAAATACCCAACTACTATTTTAACTTCCATACAATGTAAATAAAGAAACCACCAAGTAAATCTGGTAATATGTTAATACTGAAGTGACTTCTTACCACGTTTTAAGAAATTTCTAGTCAGGTGGTAGTGGCACAAACCTTTAATCCTAGCATTCGGGAGGCAGAGGCAAGCAGATCTCTGTGACTTCAAGGCCAGTCTGGTCTACAAGAGCTAGTTCCAGGACAGGCTCCAAAACTATACAGAAAACCCTGTCTCGAAAAGCAAAAAAAAAAAAAAGAAATCCCTGAGCACAGAAAACTTAATGGGAATTAGTAAAATATAAAAAACTAGCACTATGCTGTATTTTATAAATTTAATTGCAAAGTGATGAGTTAGTCCAGCAAAACTGTGAACTACCTTCCTATAAGCAGTTACATAAGAGAGACAATAAACATCAAGAGATAAACAGGCAGTAAGAGGCTGGGTGGTGGTGGTGCACGCCCTTAATCCCAGCACTTGGGAGGTAGACGCAGACGAGTCTTTGTGAGTTCGAGGCCAGCCTGGTCTACAGAGCTAGTTCCAGGACAAGCTTTAAAGCTACAGAAAAACCCGGTCTTGGAAAAAAAAACAAACAAATAAACAACAACAACAAACGGCAATAAGAATGTGAGAAAATAAAGGACTTATATCATGGAAAGTAAAAACCACAAAAGTTTCAATCAGATTAGGAAAAAAAAGGAAAGGAAAAAAAAGGAACAATTACCAGTCGGGGAAAAAAGTAAGCTCTCAAGGTCATTATCTTGATAAGCACTAAAAATAGAATCTCAGAATGTGAACCTGATGCCTAACATGAACTAAAATGCCCACTCAATTACTACTACAAATATTTTATAGTTTATAGCCCACAAGAGTACATTTTTAACAGAAGCTTCATGAAATTATTATTTTTATTTTTTTACTTTAAAAACTTTAATTCTATCTTATGTGTATGGGTGTTCTGTCTACAAGTTATGCCAGTACAGTGCCTACAGAGGCCAGAAGAGGGTGTCCAATACCCTGGAACTGGAGTTACAAATGGTCATGAGCTATCACATGGGTGCTGGGAATCGAGCCCAGGTCCTCTGCAAGAGCAGTTAGCGCTCATAATCACTGAGCCATCTCTCCATTCCCTATGTCTTTTTTTTAAGTACCTTTCTATGTAATCCTGACTGTTCTGAACTCCCTATGTAGACAAAGCGGACCTCAAACTCACAGAAATCTGCCTACCTCTGCCTTCCACCTATCTCTGTTTTTAAAGATTGGCCTAAGAAAGAACTAAAATCAACCTAGCTGTTCTCCAACAGATAAATGGATAATGAAAATTTGGTTTGTGTGCACGCGCACACACAATAGACTACTATTCAGCTCTAAAGAAAACTAAAGTTAAAAGAAAACTGTAGGAAAATGGATAGACTTAGAACTTATAATGAGCAAAGTCACATATGCTCAGAGAGAAAGAAATGGCATGTTCTCTTTCGTATGCCAAATCTAGCCAATGATATCTGTATATACACAAACAAATGCCCATGTGGGTACAGTACAACATGATGGAAAGAGAACATGGCTAGGCACAAGGGGATGAGGAAAGACTGAAAGGTAATGGACACAGTCACAACAGAGAATATAAGCGAATTGTTTTTCTAGTTCTAATTCTGCCATAGACTTTTTTGAGGTTCATAGTAGTGCATAAAATATACTCAATATTGAAAGTATAAATTTTAATGTGAAGCTTCACAGCTTCTGCTCTGAAAGCCTATTCTAAACGTACAGAAGGGCTGCACAGGTGGTTCCGGGGTTAAGTGCACTTGCTCTCACAAATGACCTGAATTCTATTTCCATGGCAGCTCACAAGTGTCTGTAACTCCAATCCGAAGGGATACAATGTCCTCTTCTGACCTCCACGGGCAACAGACATGCATGTAGTGCACATACATACATGCAAACCTTCATAAATATAGTAAAATAAATACATTATTGAAGAAATTTTTAAAAACTAGCTATACAAGTTCATTGAGTTGTACAGTCTTTAAGTCTCACTAACTTTGGCGTGTGACCGGGAGGTGGTGGTAGCGCATGCTTTTAATTCCAGCACCAGGAGACAGAAGCAGGCAGGTCTCTGTGAGTTCAAGGACAGCCTGGTCTACACAGCAAGTTCCAGGGCAGGCACCAAAGCTACAAAGACAAATCCTGTCTCAAAACAACAACAACAACAAAAAACCTTCGGTATGTGATATTTTTTATTCACTTGCAAGGGATTTCTTGTTGTTATTTTTACAGTAAGTTTTATTTAAAAAAAAAAAAACTCACTGCCGGGCAGTGGTGGCACACACCTTTAATTCCAGCAGAGCAGGAATTAAATCTTTGTGAGTCCAAGGCCAGCCTGGTCTACAAGAGCTAGTTCCAGGACAGGAACAGCTAGTTCCAAAGCTACAGAGAAACCCTGTCTCGAAAAACAAACAAGCAAACAAACAAAAAACCAAATACCAAAAAAAAAAAAAAAAAAAAAAAGACTCACGTAGTACTTGCTGAGGCTCTCCCAGGTCTACAGCTTCATTTACTATAAAAGGGAGTTGGGAAATTTAGGAGTACAGGGCTTAAGGCTAGCACAGTCAGTTGCACAGACCTTTAGCTGCAGCACTTAGCAGGTAGATCGCTCCAGGTCAAACAAAACTATATAGGAAACTTAGTCTCAAAACAAAACCTTAAAAAAAATTGCCTGGATGGTTACTTATCTAAAATTCAATGTATGTTTTGTCTGAGATGAGTTCTTGTAAACTGGCCATGAAGCCAAAATCCTCTTGCCTTAGCCTCCCAAGTACTGGCTCACCCTTCTTGAACCCCGGGTCTTCTTTTCAGTGTTCCTCATACCAGGACGTACCACAAGATTCCTTCAACACTTATCTCCAGCTCTAGTCCCTCCTCTGTAGGATGTCAGCATGTGCTACGCCCTCCATTCCCACCTCCTTCCAAGTGACTGCCTCACACATCGAACTTTCAGTTGTCCCAGTTAGCTTTATGTCAACTTGACCCAAGCAAGAGTCATTTGGGAAGAGGGGATCTCAATCTAAAACATGCCTACACCAGACTGGCCTATGAGCAAGTCTATTGTGGAATATTCCTTTACACTGTGTGACTATGTGTCACTGTGATTGGGTTGACAAAGCTGACTGGCCTATAGCTAGGCAGGATAAGGTTAGGAGGGAGAACCAGACTAAGAAGATGCTGGGAAGAAGAGGGGCAGAGTCTGAAGAGACTCAATGAGACACAGAGCAAGCAGGATGAGAAGGACATACAAGAGGTAAACCAACAAGCCTCAGGGCAGCACATAGATTAAAAGATAGGGGTTGTTTCAGTTATAAGAGCTAGGTAGAAATGTGCCTAAGCTACTGGCTGAGCGTTTATAATTATGTCTCTGTGTGGTATTTGGGGACATGGCTGGGAGGACAGAAAAGTCCACCCACAGTCTGTGGTGCATTTTCTTAATTAGTGGTTGATGTGGGGCGGCCCAGACCATTGTGGGTGGTGCCACGACACCCCTATAGGGCAGGTGGTCCTGGGTATAGATTCTTGCCAAGAGCAAGCTCATAAAAATTACTTCTCCACAGTCTGTGTCAGCTCCTCTCCTAGGTTCCTATGCTGTTTGAGTCTCTACTTTTACTTCCCTCATGGTTCAACTGTGATACACAACTGTAAACTGAAATAAACCTTTTCCTCCCCAAGACGTTTTCGGTCATGGTGTTTTATCAAAGCCATTGAAACCCTAAGACAAGCAGGGTGATGGTAGTGCACGCCTTTAAACCCAGCACTTGGGAGGCAAAGACAGGTGGATCTCTTGTGAGTTTTAGCCTGGTCTACAGAGCGAGTTCCAAAGTTACACAGAAACCCTGACTCGAAAACAAAACAAAACAAAACCCTAAGACAGAAAATGGTACCAGAAATGGGGTACTGCTGTGCTATACCCAATGGTATTTGGGGGAGGGGATGGAGATAGCACTTGAACATGGGCTGTTGAGTGCTCAGACTTCAGTAGGTGGTCCTCTGGGATCTTGGAAGATAAGAGTGTTGAGAGAAAGGCAGATGGTGGAGGCCAGTTTGTGAAATTAAAGGAGGACATTTTGAGAGTCCTTTCAAGATTTTATGAGGACTGTTCGTATGATATTTTGAATTGAAAATAAATGGCTTTAGTCGGCTAGGGTTTAAGAATCAGGTGTGATTAGGAAGAGACCAGCACCACTGAAGACAGACCTAGACTTGGAAAGTTTACAAGGATTGGCTGGAGCTGAGAAATAATGAACAACCAGCGTCAGTGAGGTGAAGTCTTCTGAGAAGTATTTCCTCAGGGTCAGCACACAGAAACCGTGGGCCAGAGGGGGACAAGAATGTACACCTTGTGCTGGCAGCCAAACTTGGTGATATGTAAGTTTCCCAGGCTTAGCTGAAGATGAAGCCCCAAGGATCATAAAGAGAAGTTAATGCTCGCACCACATTTCAGGGTCAGATTCCCTAGAGAGCCCTGAGGAGGTTATTGGTAGCTGTACAGCCCAGCTGCAGTGCAGACCCCCATATTTTGGAGATGCCAATATCATGGGATGCCCACCAAGAACAGCAACTGCTGTGGAGTAGAGCCAGCCTAAGATTAGAAGGGCAGTTTTATGTGCCGTGGATGGCAGAGCTGGAGAGATGTCACAGCCAGCGCCTCTCAGAGCCCAAAAGAATGGTGAATGGGTCCTAGATGTTAAGCACCGAATATTTTTTCACTAATGTTTTTGGTTTTGCTTTCTTCTGAATGTAACTATGCCCTAGTTCTTCCCTACTCGAGTAAGAAAGTACTTAAGTTATTTTTGATTTTAGAGGAATTCACAATTAAGAGACTGAATATTTTAGAGAGAGCAGAACTCTGAAGGTGACCATTGATATTTGATAGAGTCTGAATGGGGCAGGCAGATTTAGTGAGTTTAGTCAGTCTAGTTTACAAAATGAGCTCCAGGACAACTAAGACAACTCAGAGCAATGGTTCTCAATCTGTGGTTGTAACCCTTTTGGGTGGAATGACCCTTTCACAGGGATCACTTAACATCCCCAGAAAACCCAAATACTTACATTGTAGTTCATAACAGTAGCAAGACTATAGTTACAAAGTAGCAATGGAATAATTTTATGGTTGCAGTCACCACAAGAGGAACTGTATTAAAGGATCACAGCATTAGAAAGGTTGAGAATCAATGATTTAGAAAGACCCTATCCAGGGAGAGGAGAAGGGGGTGAAGAGGGAGGGGGAGGGAGAAGACAGAAGAGAGGAAGAGGTAGGAGAGGAAGGAGAAAGACAGAGAGGGAGGAGAGAGGGAGGAGAGGGGGAGAGGGAGGAGAGGGGGAGAGGGAGAGGGAACCTGAACTTTTAAATACAGGGGCTTTTAAAGTTAGAAATGTTTTATGTTGTGATATTGATAGTAATATGATATTTTGAGGGTAAACAAAAAGGGAAGATCACAGCTTAATAAGTAGACAAGGGGTCAATTGTGCTGACTGGTTTTTATCAATCTGACACAAACCCAGACATATCTGAAGAGAGAATTTTCTTATTTCTCTCCCCCTCCCTGCCTGGAGTGTGTGTGTGTGTGTGTGTGTGTGTGAGAGAGAGAGAGAGAGAGAGAGAGAGAGAGAAAGAGAGAGAGCAGGTTCCTGCCAGAGGTCAGAAGAGAGCAGTCAATCCACCCTGGAGCCAGAATTATAGGCAGTTGTGAGTCACACGGGGGAACAGCAGTGTTCCTCACTCCTGGGCCATCTCTCCAGCCCCTGAAAGAGGGAATCTTAACAGAGACAATGCATCCTAAGACTGCCCTAGAGGTAAATCTATGGAGTATTGTCTTGATAAATGATTGACAGAAGAAGGCCTACCCCATTGTGGGTGGTGTCACTCCTGGACTGTGGTCCTACCCACGGACAAGTGGCAAGAGGTCCTGAATGTACAAGGACGCAAACTGAGCAAGCCAGGAGCGAGCAAGCCAGTGAGCAGCATTCTTTCACCGCTTGCTTCTGCTTCAGTTCCTACTTCCAGGTTCCTGCCTCAGCTTCTTTCAATGATGGACTAGGATACGAAATTCTAAGCTGAAAGAAACCCTTTCCTCCCTAAGCTGCTTTTGGTCATGGTGTTTAATCACAGCAATAGAAACCCTAGCGAAGCCAGCTCTTCACTAACCTAATTCTAACATCTGGAGCTGTGAAACCTGTAGAATCACTAACATTCTTAACTCATACTGAGTTCACCTAACCTATGGATTGTCAGGACTCAGCAATGATACCACAGAACATTAGCATCCTGCAGCTCCCTGGGGACCATGGTTTGTTCTGCTGTCCAGCATCTGGAAAGGCTCATGCCATTTATCCCGAGCCTGGGAAAATACCAAAATTCAACATTCAAAGAATGTCTCACTAAATACAAACCACACTGCTTTCCTATCACCATAGTCAAAACCAAGCTGAACCGTTTGTAAGGTAGGAACCATCTGGATTTGGATTCTACTTAAGTTGCTTAAAGGCACTCACTGTATAGAAAGTGGGAAAACACCATGCCTGATGTGGGGTAGACAGAAAACAAGTCGTTATTTCATTTATCGCTGCCTTGAAGTTTTCAGCAAACCCACCATACCAACTGTTCCTTCCTCCACGTTAGACAGTACGCTGCTAACGATGATCTAATGGAGAGGCTTTCCAGTTAGTCTTTATCACTATCTTTCACAGAATACCTAAATCTTTCTGTTCTTTCACATCTCCATTCTCAACCAAGTTTCATTCAAGCCTTTGGCACAGCTTTAGAACAAAGCTGAGCTTCCACGCTCAGTGAGATCTGGTTTCATTGGACTAGCCACACTGTAAAAACTTCTCAGGGACTTGACTTGAGACAAGGCTCTAATTCCAACCCACTGCCTTCAAAACACACCAGAATGACACAGACATCCTAATCTTAGCCTCCAAGTTGAATCAAAACCAACCATCTTTTCCTTTACCACCTCAGAAGGAAGTTTCTTGCTTCGACTCTAAAAGATATTCCCATGGAACGATACACGATACTTTAATTCTAAATCCCTAAGCTCTTGTGTTCCTTTAAACCACAGTTTATCCCACCCTGCTCCTCAAAATTCTTCTGACATTTCAAGATTCCTCTCCGATTTCTAGATTGTGAATATCAAAGTCAAAGGGGTTGTTTTCTCTTGATGCATTTAATTCACCTGTCAAGGTGTTGCCAGAAAGGCCAAAAACCAGATACTGGCCGGCAGAGCGTAGCTCAGTTTTAACAAGACTCTAAAGAGGCCTTTATTAACTATGCCTTCTCAAAGTGCCTAGCGCACTAACCGTTGCAAACTTGAATGAGAACGGAAGAACTGACGGTCAGTCACTGATCAATAAGCCAGATATTCCCCGAAATAAAAGCATCAAAAGAAAACATGGAAGGCGCTACCCTGTATCGTTTTCATAATCTACTTTCCATAGCAGATTGTTTATGAACGCAAAAAAAAAAAAAATCCAAAAATCTCAAGTTGCCTTGGCAAAGGGTGCCGGGAGTGTGCTGGGTGTGAGCTGCGTTATCTCGGGATTTAATTACTGGGATATTGCTTTGTGGGCTGTGGAGCCGGGGGCCTCGTGCTCGCCCTACCAGCGCCCTACCTCAGGGCTACACCCCTGCCCCGAGGCTTCCGCCCTCGCCTGAGGCCTCGTGGCTGAGAAGTCAGAAACCCGAAGGCGCCCTTGAAGCCCGGAGGCCCGCCACGCGCGCGGGGACCGCAGCAGACTCGGCGCTCCGGAAGGCGCGGTCATGTGACACCGACCTGCCGGTCCTGCCGCTGCTTCAGATGCACGCCGGCCACCGTGGCTGCCGTCAGCAGCACCGAGAGGCCCAGCACCGCCTTCGAGCTCCTCGACATTCCCGCTCCCGGCCGCGAACTCGCTCCCGCGTACGCCCCCACTGCTAACGCCGCCGCCGCCGCCGCAACGGGCCAGGCTCGACCCCTCGAGCGCAGAGCCGTCGCAAGGGCTCTGTCGTCGCCAGGCTCGAGCAATCGAGCGCCGAGCGTAGTCACCACCTAACTTCACTTTGCTGCTTCTAGTGGGGGCCAGGGAAGGGGTTCCCCGTTTCGGGACCGCTTCCACCAGGAAGTCGTGCTGGGCAGCCTTGGAGATGCAAAGGGTTGGGGGTGGAGGGACTTGTGGGGTAGATGCGAGGACAACTCAATATTGTGGGGCGACTGATCAGACCCTTGATTTTCTTAGACTCTAAAAGCTGGGTGGTTGGTTTCTTGCTATGCCGCTCAGACTGGCCTCAAACTCGCAATCCTTCTGCCTAAGCCTCAGCCTCCGCTACACCATGTCGCCTACTCACAACTCCAGTTGGGAAATGCAAAGGGTCAGGCAAGGATCCGGAAGTGTGGATCCCGTTTTTCTTTGATCCCCTTGAAGACTGCCAGAAATGCAAGATCCTTATGTCATACTAACCAGAAAAATTAGAGACTAGAGTAGTTCACAAGAAGCTAAGGATGGTGTCATTTTCACTTCCCCCTTAAAAAGAAGCTTGGTTTCCCAGAACTTTTAAGTATTTAACTGAGCTGCCAATGAAGAACTGATATCACTAAATATCACTCCTGCCCACGAAAATACATATGCAAGCTTCTTCTTTCTTCTGTGAAAACAGCCATAGACGATGTTGATAGGACTAGTCCAGCTTTACCCAGAGCTTCTCCAACGTTCACCTTGATTCAAAATGCACACCTTTAATTCCAGTACTCCGGAGGCAGAGGTAGGTGGATCTCTGAGTTTGAGGCCAGCCGGGTCTACAGAGTGAGTTCCAGGACAACCAGGGTTGCTACACAGAGAAATCCAGTCTCAAAAAAACAAACAAACCAAAAGTATTGATCTTCCATTTTCTGTTAAGTGAACCTAAATGGCATGAAGAAAATACTACTTTATGAACTGTAATAAAATAAATGAAAGATGCCCTTTTGCAAATGTCAGTCTGACTGACCACAGCATTTTAGCACCTACAGAGGTTGTATCTTTGAATATGAAAATAGAGTTTGGACCTAGTAAATTTTGGAATGAGAAGTAATTCAGAATGTTTTTGCATATTTTTTAAAGAAATAAAAATTATGCCACAATACTTTTCATTTGTTGTAACCCCTGACTTTTTTCATCCAGTAAATTAGTGAGTGAAGCAGCTATAAATGAACTTGGAATGACACCAGAAAGTTAGAAGGCGTTCATTTTATTGTGATTAATTTTTCAATTTGTCTTCTTGAAATGTATTCTGTCTTTGAAAATCTTTCAGACCAGGCGATGGTGTTGCATACCTTTAATCCCAGCACTCAGATGGCAACAGCAGGCAGATTTCTTGAGTTCAAGGCCAGCCTGGTTTACAAAGCAAGTTCCAGGACAGCTAGCACTATACAGGGGAAGCTCCGTCTTGAAAAAAACAAAAGAAAAAAAAAAACAACCTTTTAAGTGTTGTGCTTGATGAGACTAGCGTGGTCTATAAGAGCTAGCTCCAGGACATGCTCCAAAACTACAGAGAAACCCTGCCTCGAAAAACCAAAGAAAGGAAGGAAGGAAGGAAGGAAGGAAGGAAGGAAGGAAGGAAGGAAAGATGTGTCTAAAATGTAGATCAATTTTTATAAACCAAAGCAAGATGTTTTGTATAATTATTTAGTTTAGTGGCTGAATGACTGCATGCCATCAGACACTGAAAAGCAGAAAAGTAGTGTGTTTACTTTTGAAGTTTCTCCTAAATAAGTTTTCTTGTTTTCTCTCTTTTATGTCAAGACCTTTCAGAGAAAGCGTCACTGATGAACACCTATTATTTTATGTGTTCGGCTAACTCCTATGTTTGAGGCACATCTGAAATGCTAGAAAGGCATGTGACAGGGCCAGACTGTGCATGGTTCTTCCATCTTATATTCTTGCTAAGTCCATTTTAGCTTTAACTAGAATTTGAACTCCTTGATGGAGAATCCTGTGGAAAGTTACGCTAGTCTAGAAACCCAAGATCAAGATGCCCCAACTAACTTATCTTAGGTCATGTTAAAAACTGTGATTTTTGTCCTGATTTTGTCGTGATAAAAAAGACAGCCTTTTCAACAAACGGTGTTGAGAAAAACCTGGGTGTCCACATGTGGGATAGTATGTCACCTACCAAACATCCTGACCCAGCATCACAGCACACTGTAATGTGTCAGTGGCCCCTCATGGTTGTGAGGCTCTCCGGCAGCTGCACTGACTAGCTTCATGAGAAAGGATTGCAAGAAAACATCAAAAGTCAAAATTGTTACTGGGTGTCTAGCTCAATGCTAGGCTCCAAGGCAGTTGCTTCCTACTAAGCAGATGTCACTCAGATGTCACAGTATCACGAAGTCCAAAAATGGTGGGCGGAAAGATCCTAAGTCAGACGCCTTCTGTACATGATTTGACAAAGTTATTTCAGATTCAAAATCCACTCACAGCATTAGAAAACAATGTTAATTTTACCAGTGTTAATAAAAGGAGAGCTTAGATCCTTTAAACATAATTTAAATATACTTAAAAGTTATCTACCATTGCTTACATAAGTATTGACTTCAGTTGACACACAATACTCTGTGTTGGCAAACACTGGAGCAGCTGGAACTCTCTGTACACCTGGACCCATAATTCAGCAAACGTTACACAATTCACACAGCCAGCAGAGCTGCAGGCTTATGTCCTTAAAAGATAAGGTAAAGCAAGGCAGGCTTAGTGTTCATGCCTTTAATGCCAGCACGCAAGAGGCAGAGGAAGGAGAATCTGAATGTGAAGCAAGCCTGCTCAACAAGTGAGCTCTAGGACAGCCAGGACTACTGACCCTGTCCCAAAATCAATGAATAAATAAGTATAAACAGATAAAAAAAATAGGTGAGGAATGGATAGATGGATCAGTGCTGAAGAACAATGCCTGTGGGGGGCTAGAGAGATGGTGGAGTGGTTAAGTTATGGTGCTCGTACTTATTCTTCATTCATACAAAAGACCCACGCTCAATTCCCATCTCACCCATGGTGGCTGACAACATACCCAATTCCAGTTTCAGGGGACTTAACATCTGGCCTCCAGGGTACTGCATTCATGTGGTACACATCCATACATGCACACAAAAAAACTCACCTGCAAAGTAATAAAATTAAATTAAATTTTGAAAAAAAGAATAATGTCTGTTCTTTCAGAGGGCCCACACTCAATTCCCAGCACCCATGTGTGTAACATGAGGGCCTGCTTGTTGGGCTTTCTTTCCTGCCCAGTTCCCACAACCGGTAAATCCCAAAGAAAATCACTAAGAGGTCTCCATAAGTTATAAACTGATTGGCCCATTATCTCAGACTTCGTAGATTTTCTAGATGGACAGAGATGTATTTCAGATGGATAGACATTCTTCAAACCTTCCAAAGACTACAGAATATTCCATTTAAAATGTTTTAATAACTTAGGACTTTTCATGGCAATGAAACACATCTGCTCCTGGCAGCATCCATTTACTTCAAGAGGATGATGGGCACTGAAGAGGCTCCTTATGGTGTTGGTTAGCCAGTCAAGAAAAAAAAAAACTGCTCTGAACTGTTTAATGGTATGCTGCATGAGCTGAATATGCAGGACCTACAGAGAAATGACTGCTGAACTTACCAAAAGGTGAGACGGTCCTTCAGGGTTCCTGCTTCATAAAAGAGTCTGTAAGACATTCTGCGTGACACAGAAGAAAGTGACTGACAAACTGCCAATATAGGCAGAACTGTCTTTGAAATTTCCTGCTTCATAGAAAAGTGCTGGATACTATAGGCCTGTAGGCTGAAGATGGATGCCCCAACAGTACAGAAGAGCTTTGGGTGACTGTTCAGGCAGTGAGATGTCTCTGTCAATTCTAGAGGTTTGGAAGTTGCTAACAATGCACTTCCTGTTTGTTTAGGTAATATATCTTTCTGGAGTCTTTGATGGAGTTGAAGAATAGATAGTTATAGTTTTCCTTAGTTATGATAAAAAAATAAGGTATATGTAAGTATTGTAACTGTAATTCTTCCTTGATAATTGTTTTGTTATATGTAATGTTACTATGTTAAAATTAAAACCTTCCTTTTCATTTAGACAGAAAAGAAGAGGTGATGTGGAATTCCTCTCCATATATTGTGAATACCATTGGTTAATAAAGAAGCTGTTTTGAACCTGTGATAGGATAGAGCAGAGCTAGACAGGGAAAACTAAACTGAATGCTGGGAGAAAGAGGGGTGGAGTCAGAGAGAAGCCATGTAGCCCTGTGGGAGACAGACGTTGGAACTTTGCCCAGTAAGCCGCAGCCATGTGGCAATACACAGATTAATGAATAGGTTAGTTTAAGATACAAGTTAGCCAGAAATATGCTTAAGCTATTGGCTAAACAGTATTGCAAATAATATGGTTTCTGTGTGATTATTTCAGGGCCGAGCAGCCAGGAACGAACTAGTGGCCTCCAACAATACATGTGGCCAGTCAGAATCATTTGTAACTGTGGTTCCATGGGATCTAATGCCCTCTTCTGGCACCAAGGTACACATATAGTTCATGAACATACATACAGGCAAAATACTCATACAAATAAAATAAAATAATAATTTTCAAAATTTTAAAAATAAACAAATATATACCAAACACAAAAATAAGTGTTAAATTATTTAATGGAGTAAAATAAACTGGGCTGCAATGGCGCATGCCTTTAATCCCAACACTCAGGAGAGAGAGGCAGGCAGATCTCTATGAGTTCAAGAACAGCCTGGTCTACAAGAGCTAGTTCCAGGGCAGGCTCCAAAGCTACAGAGAACTACAGAGAAACCTTGTCTCAAAAAATGAAACAAAAAAAAAGTAAAATAAATATTAAATGTATACCACCCAAACATCCATCAATAGGAAAAAAGTCAGAGAAGCTGTGGGATTGTCATATTGGCATATACTAAGCAGTTTTAAGAAACAATGAGTTCACTGGGCAGTGGTAGCACATGCCGTTAATCCCAGCACTCTGTAAGCAAAGGTAAATGGATCTCTGTGAGTTCACAGCCAGCCTGGTTTACAGAGTGAGCTCCAGGACAGCCAAGACTACACAGAGAAACCCTGTCTCAGAAGGAAAAAAAAAAGAAGAAAAAGAAAAGAAAAAAGTTGACTTGGAGAAAAAGGTAAAGTGTAAGCTTGGTGACCTGAGTTTGAACCCTGGAACCCAGAGGACTCCACAGTGTTGTCCTCTGACTTCTACAGAGGTGCTGTGGCATGTGTATTGTGGGGAGCCCACCAGAGATGACCGCTGAGACACAATTTATAGCTAATTGAAAATGTTTATTTCAGTCTACTCAGACTATACTAAGGTATTTGGGACTCACGGAGGGTTTAGAGAAAGGGATTTATTTAAACAAACAAAAAAAAAATTCTAGTCAAACCTAAAATGACCACTGTAGCAGACTTTCTTTCAGGTCACCAACCATCTCTCAAATCCTGACATGGAGACTTATTACTAGTTAAGAATGCTCAGACTTATTGTCATTTTTTGCTAGCTCTTATAACTTAATTTGACCTGTTTCATCTACATTTTGCTTTAAGCTTTTTACCTTTCTTTCATTTTTTATGTATTATACCATGTCTTGCTGGCTGGTGGCTGCCTGGTTGACTGGCTCTGGGCATCTCCCTTTCTTTCTCCCTTGTTATCTTTTCCCTCTCTCCAGCCTAGATTCCTCCTCCTATTTATTCTCTCTGCCCACCAGCCCTTCCTATCACTCCTCTACCTAACTATTGGCCATTCAGATTTTTATTAGACCAATCAGGTGCCTTAGGCAGGCAGGGTAAAACAGGAAGCAACACATCTTTATAGAACTAAACAAATGCAGCATAAACAAATCTTGTGGTGATGTTTTGGGGATCTGCACTTTAGGCATAACAATCCCTTTTCTACCTTTCTAATCCACACACACTTACATTCTCACAACACACATGTTCTTTTCCAGTCTGTTCTGCGACACTACTCTTGGGGAGAGATGAACAGACGTCTACTGACTTACAGGAACAGACACAACTCAAAGACGGCTGAACACCAAAAGCCCACCGCAGCATGAGTGACAGCTGATAAAAGCTGGAAGCCTGGAGCCGACTTCCCAGCTTGCAGACAGCTCAACAGATTAGGTAGTGTCACTCTCGGTCAGTTGACAGAAGCTGTCAATTGAGCCTCCTCTAAGCAGCAGCATGGTCTCTGTCTTCAAATGGCTTGGCTGGGCTGAGAGTCTTCCAGATAGCTCAGCGTGGCTGAAAGTATCTCTTTCCCAGCAGACCTTACTGTGTACATATGCTTGGGAGGGAGCCTTCTAGTGAATCTGGTCAGCATCAGGGACATCCTGGGGCTACTGAGTTGTTTACTTCCTAAGTTGAAGGAGCTTTCTTGCAGGAAACACATTCTTATTGTTTTGCTTCCCTATAATATCATCTGTCTTAACAGACCTCCCTCAAAAACTGAAAATTTTAAACTCAGAAGCAATTTTTACTCCCATCCGCTCATGCCTCCCTTAATATCTCTTCTTTCTCTCTCACAGTACCATTTTAATTTCATGAGCTACACATTCACACATATAAATACACAGCTGGCCTGGAGGAATGGCTCAGCAGTTAAAGGCTAGGCTCCCAACCAAAAATATCAGAGTTTGGTTCCCAGCACCCACGGCTGCCCCTCCAGGTACAAAAACAAAACAAAACAAAACAAGCCACAACTATAAAAACTAAAGTGTGGGATCTGCATATAAGAAAAAAGACATGTAATAATGTCCTTCTGCATCTGACTCATTCCACTTAACATAATTAAAAAAGGAAGACTGGCCCAGGCGGTGGTGGCACATGCCTTTAGTCCCAGTGATGCGGGAGAATTGTCTGTATTCTGTCAATCATATTTTAATAAAACGCTGATTGGCCAGCCAGGCAGTATAGGCGGAAAAGCCAGACAGGAAGTAGAGGTGGAGCAAAGAGACTGGGAATATTCTGGGAAGCAGGAAGCTCCCTCTGGCATTCCTGCCCAGATCACCAAAGAAACAACATGTGAGCTGACAGCTGAAAAAGGTACCAAGCCATATGGCTAAAATAGATCAGAATATTGGGTTAATATAAGTCATAATAGCTAATAAGAAACCTGAGCTAATGGGCCAATCAGCTTTATAACTTACGGAGTCCCTTGTGTGATTTTACTTTGGGACTAAACAACTGGGGGAACGGGCAGGACAGATACACAAAAAAACAAGTCGGCCCCTCATGTTACATCCCAGAACTTGGGAGGCAGAGGCAGGTGGACCTCTGTGAGTTTGAGGCCAGCCTGGTCTGCAGAGCAAGTGCGAGGACAGGCGCCAAAGTTACACAGAGAAATCCTGTCTTGAAAAACCAAAACTAGATAAACAAATAAATAAATGATCAAGAGGGCTGCCTCACAAACATGCACGTCATCCCTGCACAGGGGCCATGAGAATCTTGTCTGTACTATTTCAACTTTCATATGTGTGCTACTGAAGCGAACACTTTAAATACTTTTTAATACTTTCCTACTTCTGGCACGCTAAAGAGCACCAGATCTTTCGGCTTCCTTTCCTAGTCCTAGAGTCAGCCATTTCTCCAAGGATCCAAGAAGGGCATTGGAAACCCAAGCCTAGGAATGCTTGTTGCTTCTGGAGGACTGTCCTTGTGAACAGGCCCAGCAAGAAACCACCAACCAAAGTCACTTTAGGGAAAGAAGAGCAAGGGCAAAACTGCCAGGCTGCCTCAGAGAGTGAAGCGCAGTAACAGCTGCAAAAGCTTGTTGGGCTTCACACGGGTAGATGACAGGGGGAGGCAGCTCAAGAGCTGGAAGCAGGGTATGGGACTCTGCCAGACAGAGTAGGTGCTGAGGGACGCAGCTGGAATTGCTCAGCCGGCCATGCAGGCCTCCCACGAAACATTTTAGGTTTCTGATTCCTACTCAGACCCAGTCCGGGTGGGACCCGCGCTGTCACCCTAAAACATTGCCACCAGCACTGCTACTTTAGAACCCATTTTGTGATCTAGCAGTCTTATTTAGGCCTTTTCATCTAACAGAGGAAATGAATATACACACCAACCCGTGTATGTACAAGTGTGTTTCTCCTATGATCTCACCATGCAACCATTTGAATTTATAGTCGGTAAAATGTAAGTTGTTCTCCTGTCCCCAGCCCTAAACTCTGGTTCCAGCAGTGAAGTTCTTTGTTTATTTATTTGTTTGTTTGTTTATCTCTTTTTTTCCAGGTCAGGATTTATCTGTGTAATAGTCCTGGCTGTCCTGGAACTTGCTTTGTTGACCAGACTGGCCTTGAAGGCATGCACCACCACTGCCTGCCTGAGCTTATTTAATATAGGGGGCTTTCTTACAGCTTCCGAGAGTTAGAGTTCATGGTCATCATGGTAGGGAGCATGGCAGTAAGCAACAGGCATGGTGCTGAGAGTTTACATCTTGAGGTAACAACCATGAAGTAGGAAGAGAGAGCCAACTGGGAATAGCATGGCCTTTTGAAACATCAAATCCCAAGCCCAGTGACACACTTCCACCAACAATTCCATGCCTCCTACTCCTTCCCAAACAGTTCCACCAACTAGACATTAAGATTCAAATACAAGAGCCTATGGGGGCCATTCTCCTTCAAATATCACATCAAAGAATTTGGCTGTCTATCGTCCTCTATTACACGATTGTTAAATCAGTCTGTGTGGAAAGGGGTCTCGGGATTTTAACCTTCCAAATATGGTAAGAATTTTATCAGCTAACTACCGTGCTGGTGTGAAGTTCCCATTGCTATTATTTTGTGGTCCCATTCATTTTAAAGTTTTGTGACCCATATTCATTCTACAGTTACTGAATCAGTATGGTTTCCCTACATCCTGCATTGAAGTTTCTTCTTCTGTCTGTGAAACAGATTTTGTCATAGCTTGAATTCCTTCCTGCCAGCATGCATCAAACCTCTCTTACTCAGTACACTTTTTTTTTTTTTTTTTGAGACAGGATTTCTCTGTGTGTCCCTGGCTGTCCTGGGACTTTCTCTGTAGATCAGGCTGGCCTCAAACTGAGATATCCACCTGCTTCTGCCTCCTGAGTGCAGGGATTAGAGGTGTGTTGGGATTAAAGAATTAAATATATTATACATCTTAAATATATTTATACCTTTTTGCTTGATTTATCATCTTGAAATATTTTTTTTTGTGCTCTCCAGGTGTCTTAGTTAGGGTTCCTATTGCTGTGATGAAACACCATGACCAAAAACAACTTGAGGAGAAAAGAGTTTATTCAGCTTACACTTCCACAGCACAGTCACTGAAGGAAGTCAGGACAGGACCCTCAAACAAGGCAGGAACCTAGAGTCAGGAGGTGATACAGAAGCCACAGAGCGGTGCTGTTTTTTTGGCTTGCTTGGCTAGCTTTCTTTTCTTTTCTTTCTTTCTCTTTTATTTTTTTTTTTAAGATTTATTTACTGATTTATATAGTATCCTTCCTGCCAGAAGAGGGCACCAGATCTCATTATAGGTGGTTGTGACCCACCATGTGGTTGCTGGGAATTGAGCTCAGGACCTCTGGAAGAGTAGTCAGTGTTCTTAACTGCTGAGCTATCTCTCCAGCCCATATTTTTTGGTTTTTTGAGACAGGGTTTCTCTGTGTAACCCTGGCTGTCCTGGAACACACTTTGTAGACCAGGCTGTCCTCAAACTCACAGAGATCAACGTTCCTCTGTCTCCCGAGTGCTGGGATTAAAGGCATGAGCCAACCATCATCCGGCTTTCGGCCTGCTTTCCTATAGAGCCCAGGATCACCAGCCTAGAGGTGACCCCAGTCATAATAGGCTGGGCCCTCCTGCATCAATCACTAATTAAGAAAATGCCCAACAGACTTGCCTGCTGCCTGACCTTATGGAGAAATTTTCTTAATTAAGGCTCCCTCCCCTCTAATGACTCTATCTTGTGTCCTGTTGCCATAAAAATACCAGTACAAAGGCCAGCGATGATAAAACCACCTTCCTGCCTGTGTCTCATTCTTACTCAACTCTTGTATCATGATATCGCTGCTGAGTTTTGTTTTAAACATAAGCTAGAGTCACCTGGAAAGAGGAAACCTCCACTGGGAACGTGGTGTTGTCAAGACTGGGTTGTGGGTACGTCTGAGGGCATTTTCTTGATTAATGATTGATGTGAGAAAGCCCAGCCAGATGTGGGTGGTGCCACTCCTGGGCAGGCAGTCCTCGGTTGTTTTAAAGGGAAAAAAAAAAAGCTGAGCAGGTAGATAAGAAGCAAGTTCCTCCAGGGCCTCTGTTTCAGTTCCCAGGTCCAGTTCCTGCTTCTGCTCCCCGCTGACTCCTCCCATGATGGACTCTGATGGGATTTGTAAGCCAACTCTCTATGGAAGCCAACTGCCCTCACCATTAGTTTATGATAGTTATGCGTTGCTCCGTGACCATAATTCCTATATTTACTTCTATCTTACTCTTTTATTTGAATGGATTTGACAGCCATACCCAGTGGTCTAAAAATGTTTTGTCTTTTTGTTGTGTGTGTGTGTGTGTGTGTGTGTGTTGAATTCATTTTGTGTAGTGATACGTTTTTACTCTTATCACATTTGCTTTTGTGCAAATTCCATAAGTGCTGCAGCTGTTGCTACGAGGATCACATAGGTTACCTAGGTTATATGATTTGGATTAATACAATTAATTTTGGTCGCTAAGATCCTTCTCTTAGAAAACTTTCCACTTTTTTATTGTTATTGAAAAGTATGATTTTATGCAATTTAGCCAGGCATGGTGGTGCACACCTTTAATCCCAGCACCCTGGAGGCAGAGACAGAAGGATTTCTGTGAGTTTGAGGCCAGTGTGGTCTACTGAGCAAGTTCCAGGACAGCCAGAGCTGTATAGTGAGACCCTGTTTCAAACAAAAACAAGCAAACAAAAAATTATGACTTTATACAATTTGTTCTCATTAACATAAATTTATAGCTATGTGGGTTTTTTAGATTTATTTATTTTATGTATAGGAGTGTTTTGCTTACATGTATGTGCATCATGTGTGTGCCTGGTGTCTATGGAGGTCAAAAGAGGGCTTCAGAGCCCTTGAAACCGGAGTTAGGGATAATCGTATGTCACTGGGTACTAAGAATTGAACCCAGGTCCTCTGCAAGAACAGAACGTGCCCTTTAACCACTTGGGCATCTTTCTAGCCCATGTATCTATTTTTAAATCCTGTAGAAAATTAAAAGGGGATGTATAAACTTGAAATATACTGATGTTTTGTTTTGTTTTTAGATAAAGTCTCATATAGTCCAAGCTAACCCTAAACTCATTATGTAGTTAAAAAATGACATTCAAGGGCTGGAGAAATGGCTCAGAGGTTAAGAGCACTGACCGCTCTTCCAGAGGACCCAGGTTCAATTCCCAGCACCCACATGTCAGCTCACAACTGTCTGAAAATCCAGTTCCAGGGGATCTGACACCTTCACACCAATGCACATAAAAATAAAAAAATAAATCATAAAAAAATTTTAAAAAAGAAATGACATTCAACCTCTGATCTTCCTGTCTCTATGTCCTGAGTGTTGAGATCCCAGGCACCACACTCAACCTTTTTATTACTACTACTACTACTTTGAGAGTATAATAATCTTCTCTCTGTAGAAGAGCAAAGGCTGACAAGATGACTCACTGGGTAAGAACACTTGCCACTAAGCCTGATGTCTTGTGTCTGACCCCCAGAACTGGCACAGTGGAAGGAGAGAACCATTTCCTGCAAGATGCCCTCTGACCTCCACATGTGTGCCGTGGCATGCTCAGTCACTGTTGGGGACTGCGGACCACCAGACCCTGAATTTCCTGTAAACAACTTGTTTTCCTCTGTTCTGACCAGCCTAAATAAAGTGGGCATTCTTGGCATTCTTGTCTCAAGGATGTCCCCCAAGTTTCTGTCTGTCTGTCTCTGTGTGTATGTTTTTAAATTTTCAGTCAGTTCCCGTAGCGAGTAGAGTGTGAACCGGAACCGGTGTAGTTTTACAAGTCACCCCTTAGTGACATACTCCTTTTTGCAATTTAGGTATGCATGGTCAACAGTAGTTTAAAATATTAAGTCCCAGCACTCAGGAAGCAGAGGTAGGCAGATCTCTGTGAGTTCGTGGCCAGCCTGGTCTACAGAATGAGTTCCAGGACAGATAGACTCCAAAGCTACACAGAAAAACCATGTCAAAAAAAAAAAAAAAAAAAAAAAAAAAAAAAAAAGAACGAAAGAAGAAAAGAAGGAAGGACGGAAAAGAAAAAATGACACAAATAAACAAATTCATGTTTTTTATTTTATTTTTTTACTTAAAGAAAATGATCCTCTCCTTATATGGTTCTGGAAATCTAATTTAGGTGGTCAGCCTTGGTTAAGTACATTTAAACACTGGGCCCTCTGGCCACTCCCAATTCATATTTTAAATTGCATACTGTCCTTGAGTAGCATGAAGCAGGCTCCTGTGCGGGCTCCTGCTCCCCCTGTGTAG